GTAAGTCCCTCTGCCCTCCGCCCAATCTCTCTCTCTCTAGTACTACACTAGCTGCTATGGCGCCCAGCGCTGAAGACTACAGCTAACGCTGCTAGTGCCCAGCGCTGAGGACTGCTAACGCTGCTACTACTCCTGCAGCGCTCCTCCAGAGTGCTGCTGCCGAATCCTGAAGACTACCTCCTGCCTCCTGAACTGCACGTGAAGTGCATGGGAAGTACCTAGGAACTACCTGCCTGCCTGTAGGGTGGGCCAGTCCTATATAGTGCTGGCCTGTCCAGGAGGCTGCTCTTGCCAATGCCGAAATGTGCCAGACCCTGGCGTTGAAAACGTCACGGGCCTGGAAATGGCCCGTGCAGCCTGTTGCAGGCGCAGCATGTAACACGGCCCCCTCCTTATGAAGTCAAGCCGGGTCGAGGGCGAAGCTGACAATCTGAAGGTGGAACCTGGCGGGTGCGACGTGGAGCCGAAGATACCGGCTTGCCTTACATTTTGCGTTCGTAGCGTGCGAGAACATCCGGAGCTGTTGCTTGGAGTTCCGCACGGGTCAACCAACGGTCAACCTTGTGAGTGCAGTACGCAAAATGTACCAAGTACTCGGTTGGCCTGTTGCCGTAGCGTCGCTGGGAGATGATCTCGCCGACCTCCTGAAAACCGTCCATAGAGGGTGGGTCTTGGGAACGCCGCCCGGGAAAATCGTTATGTTCCGCTGGCGTGTAAAGAGCCAACTTGGAGCAATGAAAGACTGGGTAGACGGGCAAGTGGGCGGGCACCTGAATAGTGAAGGAAGATCCCTCGGGTGCATCCCCAGCGGGTGCCACGATCGGCCAGGGCCCCATCCATTTTGGGAGGAGCTTGCGAGAGATATCTGGTTCAAGGCTGAATTCTGCGGCGGAAACCCAAACAAGATCGCCGACACGGAATGGGCAAGGAAGACGCTGGCGATTGGCCTGTTGGCTCATGCGTTGCTGCGTCTTGGCCATCTGGTCGCGTGCCTTGACAAGTAGCTCTTGCATCTGACGCAAGAAAGGAAGATGGTCGTCACTCTCGGCCGTTCGTGGAATGATTGTGTCCAATGGCGAAGTGACCGGCGAGCCGTGCTCGAACTCGAAAGGCGACATCCGGATAGCCGGGTGGATGAACGAGTTGTAGGCCAACTCGACATCCGGCAGCCGCTCAACCCAATCCTTCTGGTCGGGGCAGATGAGAGTGCGAAGGAGAACCTGTGCGGTCTGATGTGCCCTCTCCGTTTGGCAATCGGTTTGGGCGTGGCGAGCCGAACTTGGCTTGAGAGATGAGCCCCATCGTTTGATGAGCGCCAACCAAAAATCGAACATGAACTGAGTATCGCGGTCGCAGACGATTTCCTTGGGGTAACCCTTGGTTCGAATCCAACTGGCGTAAAGAACCTCGGCCAACTTCGGTGCCTTGGCATGATAGCGACAAGGGAAAAACATGGCGAACTCGGTCGACCACCGTGAGAATCTCATCCGCACCGGTCTTGTGCTTGGGGAACGGGCCAGTAATGTCCATGGCAATCGCTTCCCTTCGCCGCAAGGGGACCGGTAATGGTCGCAACTCGCCGTATGGCGATGGTTGCAGGATTTGCAGCGTCGGCAAACCTCGCATGACTCGCAATAGCGTGTGATCGCCGAGAAGACCAGGCCACCAAAATCGCTCGCGAAGTCGGCCAATCGTGCGGTTGACTCCGAAGTGTTCGGTGGCGGGAGCATCGTGGAACTCGCCAAGAAGCCGTGTACGCAAGTGAGAGTCACTCGGTACGCAAAGGTCCTCCCCCCGTGTGTGGACAAGCAAGTACCCCTCTTGGATCCGGTTGAATAGACCGCGGTACAATGATCCGGACGCCGTGAAAGAGCATCTGCAAAACGGTTTGACTTCCCCGGAATATGATTGGGAAAGAAGTCAAATTGGTCGATGAAAGCCATCCATCTGGTGATGGTGCGATTGACAGTGTCTTGGGTCTTGTAGAAGACCAGCGGATTGTTGTCTGTTACCCATCGGAATTGGCTTCGACCAAGGAGGAAGTGCCGCCACCGCTTGAGCAAGTGGACGAAGGCGAGGAGCTCCTTGCGTCCATCATCAATGGAGTGCATAACGGGCACTTTCTTGCTGAAGTACTCGATCGGGTTCTAGTCCACGCCATCGTGTTGTTCGAGGACGGCACCAATGCCATAGCCGAACGGATACATAGTGACGCGCGTAGGCAATAGCGGATGGCTTGAATCTTGTCTGATAGCGTACTGATGCCCTCCGGTGTGACAAAATGGCCCAAGTACTCCAGCTCTTGCCGGACAAATTCGCACTTGTCGCGGTTGGCCTTGTACTTGGGGCGGCGGAGCGTCTCCAACACTCGTCGAAGGTGCTCAAGATGATCCTCCAATGACCGGCTATAGACGAGAATATCGTCTAAGTAGGCCAGCACGAACCGGTCCAACATTGCACGAAACTCGTTGGTCATTGCCGCTTGAAAGGTCGCCGGGGCGTTGGTGAGGCCAAAAGGCATGACCACCCACTCAAAATGCCCATATCGCGTCTTGAAGGCGGATTTGTAACGATCGTTCAGTCGGATCGAGATTTGATGATATCCCGACTTCAAATCCAACTTAGAAAAATACTTTGCGCCGCCCAATCGCTCAAGAAGGTCCTCGATGCGAGGAAGAGGCCCCGCATTCTTGACGGTTTGCGCGTTGAGCTTGCGCTAGTCGATGCACAATCATAGATCTTTGTTTTTCTTCCGTACGAAGAGAACTGGCGCTCCGTATGGAGAGCTACTAGGGCGGATCCAGCCCTTGTCCAACAAATCATCGAGTTGCGTGCGGAGGACTGTAAGCTCCTCCTCGCTCATGCGATAAATGCAGCCTTTTGGCGGCACGCAACCGGCCTCAAGAATGATCTCGTGACTCGAAAATGTCGGCGAACTCGTCAAGCAACCACACCACACGAGGGTCCAAAGACAAGTCCGTGGGTGAAGAGTCGGCTACTGCGACGGTCCGTAGGAAACATAGGCCGATTTCGTCGGGCTGCTTGTAAGCACGAGTAGCTTGGAATGACTTGGCCGTCACCACTTGGCACCGAATCGAGGGTGCGGAAGAGGAATAGTACACGACACTTCGGCGCCAATGGCGTCGCGAACGGTAAGAGTCCGCCGGTGGGAGTTCCTTGGTAACATATGCAAGGATGTCCCCCACCACGACTTCGTCATCCGTCGACGAAGTTGGTGGTGCATAGAAGGATAAGTACGTGTGAAGATGAGCGCATAGTGCTGCGCATTGCAGTCCCGGCAAGCGGCCCGTGGTCGGGAGAGAAAGCCATGTGAAATCCTCGGACGTGAGCGAGTCCAATACCTCTATGTTGAACTCGCACGCCGAATCCCGTGAAGAACCACTTGAAGACGATAAGTTTCCGTTGCCGGATGGAGAAGTTGCCGCACACACGTCTTGTCCTTGAGCATGAGTACCCAACGTAGGAACGAGTTGGGCAGCATAGTCCTCAAAAGAATAAAGAAGAGGAGGACTATCGACAGCGGCATGTGCCTCGAAATGAAGGGCGGTCACCCGTGAAGTGACCGGTTCCGAAGGCGTCAAAAGTGTCGTCGAGTCACCCCCGACGGTGCTCAGTTTCCCAATTTGCCCTTGCCTTTCGCCTGGCAGGCCATTGTGTCGTGGAGATCGCTGTTACACCACAGACAATAGCGGAATCTCGTGCATGCCTTGAATGCTTGCTTAGAGAGACCGTAATGGGACCATGGGCCTGGAGTTGTTGCACCAGGCCCTAGGCTAAATGCGGTGTTTGTCTTCGCCTTGCCGCGTCCTCAGCCTTTGCCGGGGCGGCCACCTTCTCGGGCGGCTGCGAGTCTGTCCCCTTCATTGGCAGACACGGCCTCACTAGTTTGGTCATTTGGCGTTGCCGCCGCGACCATGGCTACTTTCGGCCGATGCTGATCTCTGCCCAGGCGTGGCGCAAACGAACGCGGGAGATTCTTGGCCTCCTTGTTCGTGACAATAATCTGCGCGGCCATGTCAAAAAGTTCGGTCGGTGTCGTGAGGGTGTCCTCAACGTGAGTCAAGGCATTGCCCAACGCCGGACATGACCTCGAGATGAAGTAGTGTTTGATGGCTTTGAAGCCCAGTTGACTGTCTGGGACGGATGTCAAGCATTGGTACTCGACAATCCACTCAATGCTCTGCAGCATGCCTTGTTCGAAGACCATCAACTTGTCCATTGCCTTGATCTCCGACGGCTCTACTTGGAACCGCTTATGCCACGCCGCCTTTAGATCATCCCAGCTGATCTTGGTATGCAAGTCGGCAACTACCACTCCGTACTTGGCCAAGAGATTGTCCAACCATGCACGGCACGCGCCCCCTGACTGGGAGTATAAGTACCCGTGGTGCTTGTGTTCTTTGACGTAGTGTAGTTGCAACGTGAGCTCGAACTTGTGGAACCATGAAATCGGGTTGTCTTCGTCGAGTTGCAAAAGATCTCCTGCCCATCGAACTTTGGAGCTGTCTCTCGCGGTTCCGAGCTCGAGTGGTTGGCGGCAGTACAGATCCGCTGCTCCAAGTGTTGCGTTGCGGTTTGCTGTAACTGCACGCCGTCCTTGAGGGATCCGACGTCAATCTCCAATGCCTCAAGGCGATCGGAGGTGTTGGAAGAGCTGGCAACAGGTGCGGCGACGGTTCGTTCCAGCTGCTGGAGGTGGCTAGTGAGTTGGTCAAACACCTAATTGTGTGTCTGAACCGCGTCGTCGAGGTTGTGAATGTCCTCGTGCTGTGCAATGCATGTGGCCAGGAGGTCTGTGAGATGGCCAAGGAGGAGAGCGAACTTGTTTCCACTCTCTTCCAGATTGCCATTCTCAGTCTCGGTCCGCTAGTCTGCTGCCATTGTGAGCAAAGCTCGCTCTCCGTTGAATATCTTCTCGCGGCGTTGAAGTTGTTCTTCATCGGCAGCCTTTGCTGCTGCCTCGTCTTGCTGGCGCTGCTGTTCATTGCCAACAGACGTGCCTTCTCGGCGTCCTCTGCCTTCTTCTTTGTTGCGGCTGCTACTGCATCCGACCGTTGCTTAGCTTCGGTAATCAGAAGCAGCATTCGGGCCTGATAGGCCTCGTCCATTTCCCCGGACATCTGGTCCATGACGGCTGTTTTCGAGCGCGTAAGCATAGATCAGGTTGGGGCCTGCTGACGTGGCACTCCCTGCTGCTGATGCGGCTCTGCTGTCGGCTGACGTGGCCTGCTGACGTGTCCTGCAGTTGTGGTCCGCTGACGTGGTCTGCTGATGTGGCCTGATGACGTGGTCTGCGGACGTGGCCTGCTGACGTGGCAACTCACCAATGCTGCCGCAGGGGGTACCCGGAGACAGATAGAGAAGGTAAGACCAGAGGGGGCAACAACATAGGTGGGGAGGGGTGGGTGGGATAAATCGCCCAGATAAGGAGCCACTAGTAAAAAAAGAAAAGTTTTAACTTTGCAAAAAAAATTTCGAGAAAATAAAAAAATCCTGAGTTTTGCAAGTTGTCTCCCAACCTCCCTTGAGGTGCGAAATTATCAATGAGAAAAAATAATTTGAACTTTAGACTGCCAATGATTATAAGGTAGCGAAAATCATAGAACTGCGAATAAAAAAAAACAATCCGAAAAGAAATAACAAGTATTCGGACTTACTCAGATGAGAGTATTCGCAGTTTGGAAAATGGTACTGCAAGAGGGATTTCTCGTACCGTTTTCAGAAAAACGAATTTCGGAAAAAAATATTCCGAATTTCCAAATAACGGGAAATTGCAAAAGGAGATTGAAATTTTCGAGAACAAGATATTTCAGATTTCCAACAACGAAATTTCGGATTTCAGAAGAAAACGAAAACGGAAATTTCAGATGTTGTGCTATTGCGATTTTCCACAACAGATATAGCGGGAAAACAAAATCCAAGAAAAGAAAAAAAAAATCGATTTTCGGCAGTGAGGTCAAAATCGTGATTTTGGGGGCTAACTAGTGTGCTCTAATCAATCAATCAAGACTAATCAGCTACCTAGTCCCCGCACACGTGTCAGATCAGGTTGTCCTGATTCACGTGCGGTGTTCCGATACCAACTGTTACATGCCCAGTTGGGCGATGTACATCTAAACCGAGGATCCGCAATGTTGAAACGGTTTTCACCTGTCTGCAGTCACAGATGCGGGCCCTAGAATTCGATCCCCAGACCTCACGTTGCCCATGTACAGTATCGAGTCGACACCCGAATGTTTGAACCCGTGATCTGTCGTAGGTCTGTGTAGTGGTAGGGGTTCGATCTGAAGGTCTGTGGATTAGGAGTCACAACTTTGTAGAGGTAGTAGCTGTAGGTATTTTGAAAGGTCAAGGTCGTAGCTGCTACAGTCATGAAAGGTCAAGTCCACAGCCTTCCAGAAGGTCCGAAAGTGGCCTTTCGAAGTGCCTCACGTTTAGTCAGAGGCAAGTGGGCAAGTGGTGAGCCTTTAGTGAGAGGCAAGTGGGCAAGTGGTGAGCCAACTGCATTACGTCGGCAGTGCGACTGCATCGAGTTGGCAGTGCAATCCCATGCAGTCACCGGCACTGGTCCCAGTCAGTCAGAGTCCAGTCAAGCAAGTACCATGTGGGACTGTGTGCACCAAGGGTGTGGGAAAGGGGCAGACCAACGAATTACAGAAGTATAAATCAAGAGGCAGCGCCCAGCCATTCATTCATTCGCCGCGTAAGCCATGCGGAAGCGCTGCTATAGCGTCTTGTGCGAGGTGGTCTGCAGGTGGCCCGAAGTCGAAGTGGGCTTGAGGAAGACAGCATAGCCATAGGCGTAATAGCGAGCGGCCATAACCGCCATTGATTAGAGATAGCTGTTAGTGTGTGTGGGTGTGTGAGATAGAGTGAGTGTGCATGGAGTATTCAGGGTGATCCAAAGTTGAGTGTGAACAGTGGGGTTGAACGCAGTGACGAGAGTTGTGACGAACAGGCGCTGTTGCGCCATAGCCTGTTGAAGCGAGTTAGCATCCAAACTGTGTTCTCGGTGGCCATGTCTCTGAGCTTGGTGTGGGCGTTGTGCGCCAGTGTGAATCGCCATCTGTTTGCGTGCATGCGAAGTGGAAGTGAAAGCAAGTCTGATTGCATTGGTATCAGAGCAGGTACCCGCTACTTCACGCGCCATTGCCGTTGTCCATAATTGGCGCCATAGCCGAAGTTGTGCCATCGAAGGAGGAAGTTCCCCATAGCTGCGCCATCGAAGAGAAGTGCCGCGTACCTGCAAAGAAGACAACGTCGAAGGAGGGAGGGAGAGAGAGAGAGAGAGAGAGAGAGAGAGAGAGAGAGAGAGAGAGAGAGAGAGAGAGAGAGAGAGAGAGAGAGAGAGGAGTGATACAAGATTGTTNAGAGAGAGAGAGAGAGAGAGAGAGAGAGAGAGAGAGAGAGAGAGAGAGAGAGAGAGGAGTGATACAAGATTGTTGTGTGGTCCAAGGAAGAAGAAAGCGGCCATAGCCGCGGAGCTCGGGCACATAGGTAGAAGAAAGGGAGAAGGAAGAGACGAAGAAGGGAAAGGAACTCGTAGCCGAGGTGAAAAGAGAAAGCAGTGAGGAAGAAGAAAGGAGGGGGAAAAGAGAAGCAGGGGTTGGTAAGAGAGAAAGTGTCGGCAGCCATAGCCGAATTGATCGTCGACCAAAGGGTTGACCAGAGTTGACTTGGGCGTTGACCAAGGTTGATTTGGGCGTTGACTGAGGGGTTGACCGGTGTTGACGATGAAGTTGACCAGTGTTGATGACCACGAATTTGACCAAAATGGAGTTGGTATAAATTCTCCAAGCCCTTAGCCTATTCCCTCGCCCTATGGATGTGCACTCACCCGATGGTACTTGTTGAGTCTGTCTGTCTCTTCTTTCTGCATTGAGTCTCTTCTGTCCAAGTGATACGAACTCCGTGTATGAAGGATAGGGCCTTGTTGACCAAACCCACACGGGCTGAGTAGGCTAAAGGCTGTGTCTGATGACTCGATTGTCCCGGAGGACACGAACCCTCCCAAGGACCGGTACTGACCGGCGGGCTGCTCGGTGTGGCACGGTAGGCCCAAAATCCGAGTTGTGGGCTGCACAACAGGCCGTCTAAGTTTTGAGAGGACTTGCTGATCGCGTCGTCCTGTTTGCGACGTTAAAGAATTCCTGAGGAGTTACGAGGGATCTCCTTAAATGCCTCCTGATCAGCATTAAGTCCTGTAGTGACAGCTTAGAAGTAGGTCTAAGCTAGTGACCCTAGTTGGCAGGGTCTGGACCGGAGAGAAAGCCAGGTGGGATTTACCGCAGGTGCTGGGCATCTGGGTCTGGATTGTAAGGGACAATGGTGGTGAAAGCTTCCGTCTGTCGTGGTAACCTGGCTGGATCGAAGGGTAAGGCTCTGTGGTCCTTAGAGAGTCAGTAGGTAAGTTAAGTCAGCTAGGGGTTGGAAGTCTAACTGGTGAGGAGTGGAACTGACACTCGGTTGTGCATCTTTCACCATGGTTGAGACGCGCAGCGGTAAGATCACCACCTCGTATACTAAAGAGCAAGAAGAGAAAGTCGCCGCCCTCCTAAGAGAGAAGGAGAAGAGGGAGCTGATTAAGCAAGCGAAGATGCTGGCCTTAATGGAGGAGCAAAAGGCCAAGCAGAAGCAAATGGAGGAGGAACCTCAAAAGTGGAAAAAGGAGCAAGAGGAGAAATTGGCAGCAATAGAGTCAGAAACAGAAGAAAAAGAGGAGGAGATACCACTGGTCAAGAGAGGAAGGACAAAAGAGAGAGGGGAATCCAGTGGGGCACGAGAGGCCGAAGCCAAGATGGAGGCGGAAGCTAAGATGGAGAAAATGGTGAACGAATGGGTAGCTAACTTGGCCCTGGGGGAGGAGGATGAAGCATTGTTGTTTGTCCCTCAGGTAGAGCGGGAACAATTTGCTAGGGAATTGGAGGGTGAAGAGAATCCCATGAAGCGGCAGGCGATGGAGGAGCAGAAAAAGTTAGAGTGGAAACTCCGCCTTGCTCGCGAGAGGAAGAGGAGATTGGAGGCGGCCGAGAAAATGGAAAGGGATTTGAGGGCCGCTGAAGTAGAAAATGGGAGATCTCCAAAAGAAGGTGGAGATCGTATCACAGAGCGTGGAGGTGATGTTGAAGGCGCAACAAGAACAGTTGCGCTATTTAAAGGGCCATGACATCACGCTGCAATCCATGCGCACCGGTTTTAAGGATTTTGCGATGACGCACGTAGGCACCGAAATTGCGCACAATTATGGAGAGCACTCAGAAGTTTTGCGTGGGCGCCATTGAAGGCGCCAAGATAGTGGGCCCTAAAGAGGAAGAGGCCCAACCACGTAGAGAGCCCGTTAAAGTGAATTTCCCTGATTCCTACAGCGGGAAGAAGGAGGAGAACTTCGATAAATGGGAGGCAAACGTGAACTCTTATGTTCACCTCCAGAAGATAGCTCATGAGGAACATGTCCTCATTGCCTTCCATGCCCTTAAAGACGAAGCAGCTAGCTTCGCCAGATCGCTTTGCCGTGCTGCCAAGTGCGAGAACGATATGGTCGCGTATTCTCTAATCACCCCCCTGAGTGATTTCCTTAAGCTACTACGTGAGAGATTCGCGGATGTCACGCGAAGTGCTAGAGCTTCCGACAAACTGCAAACGATCCATTCTCGCCAACGGAGGAGTGCCAGGGCACTCAAGGGTGTCATGGATGAGTTAGTAGCGGTCCCTGACCATGGGGTCACTGAGACCCAGCTGGTCCAACTGTTTTATCGTGCCATGCCCGAACCGTTGCGCGGGCATTTCTGTGAGAAGAGTAGAGAGTCTGCCATGACCTACGATACTTTGAGTAGGGAGGTGGTAGCATTTGAGGCGCGGTCCATGCCAGTTTCCACTTTCAGGCATAAGGACCTTGATGAGGGCAAGAAGTGGAAAGGCTGCACCATCTCGGGTCAGGTTAAGGGCAAGGATCACCTGATCCTTACTCTAGATGAGGGCGGCATGGAAGAGGTCCCATATGATCAGATAGAGTGGGGCCTGGAGGAAGAAGATAGTGGTGTTAGTCAGGGGAGGACTTACGCCGTTGTCACGGCCGGAGGGAAGCTGCAAGGAAGGGGAGGAGGACGGGGCCAAGGGGGCCAGGCTTCCGGTGGTCGAGGACAGGGCGATCAGGGGGTTGGCGGGAGAGGAAACCGACAAGCGGGAGGTAGGGGTTAAGGTCCCCCGCAAAATCGCTCTCGTTTTAATCGGTCATCTCCCAGGAGGGGTGGGTGGCACCCTGGCTGGCCGCAAGGCAAGCCCTGGGAAGATTTGGGTCTCGAAGTGTGGCAGAAAAGAGTAGACCAGGATCAGTGCATGTATTGCGGTGACCCTGGGCATATTATTAGATATTGCCCCAAGTATAGAGAGGCCCGTTATGCTGCACATGCAGCAAAAGGCAACCGCCAGTAGGGGTCGCAACTGCCCTTACCTCTAGGCCATGTGGAGAAGAGTGCGCGCACCACATAGAAACTCTCAAACCACATGCGTCTATGGCAGAGGTTGTTGGCCAGTGCCTAGATAGTTGTCCAGAGACTGCTTGTGTTAGAGTCTCTCTAGGCACTTCCCTCACAGGCGTGGCAGAAGAATTGAAGGAGAGGATGCCGGCTTGTGCCAAGATGAAGAAGGATGCGAAAGGACAACTAGTCTTAGTAGATGTAGAGATTTTTAGAGGCAGAATAGGAGCGCTTATAGACAGTGGGGCCACCCGCAGCTATATCAGTAGGAAAGCGCTGCAGAAGTTAAAGTTGAATCTTAAAGTCCAAAAGTTAGAGGACCCTATAGTCAGTATCCTCGCAGACAATCGCACCATGTGAGTCGAGGATTACGTAGAGGGAGTCCAGGCGTACTTTCACATAGAGAAAGATGGGAAGGTGGAGAAAGTTCACCATTCCTTGACTCTCCTCGTAGAAGACAGTCTTCCTCAGGCGAAGTCAAGACGGCTCGTTTGTTTCACATGTCAGGAGTAGACAACTCTCTGGCACATTGCTGCCTCAGTGCTCCCACGTTCGCGCGATTGGTGAAGAAGGAGCAATTAGAAGAGCAGGTTTTTGTGGTCTGTGTCAGGCCTGTCACTGAGCCTAAGGAGGAGAAACCCATAGATCCTGCTATTGCCAAGCTGCTGGAAGAGTATACAGACTTAGCTAAGCCGCCTATAGGAGTAGTGCGACGGCCCATCCAACATCGCATTGAGATAGAGCCTGGCAGTAGGACTCCTAAGGGAGCTGTGTACAGAATGTTCCCAAGGGAGTTAGAGGAGTTACATAAGCAATTAGATGAGCTCCTTGAGAAGGGTTGGATTCGGCCCAGTTCGTCCCCATTTGGAGCACCTGTTCTCTTTGTCCCCAAGAAAGAGGGAGAGCTTAGAATGTGTATAGACTATAGGGGTCTGAATGCTATTACAGTGAAGACTGCAGAACCACTGCCCCGTATAGACGATTTGTTAGACCGGGTGAAAGGCTGCAAGTATTTTTCGAAGATAGATTTAAAGTCCGGCTATCATCAGATAGAGGTTCATCCTGATGATCAGTACAAGACAACATTCCGGACTAGATATGGGCACTATGATTTTATAGGTATGCCCTTTGGACTAACCAATGCGCCAACAACTTTCCAGCGCTGCATGAACGACTTGTTTAGGCCGTGGTTAGATAGATTTGTAGTAGTCTATCTAGATGATATCTTAGTCTTTAGCAAGACCCTCCAGGAACATGAGGGCCATCTGAGGCAGGTCTTGGAGAAGCTGAAAGAAGCATACTTCAAGATCAACGCGAAGAAGTGCGAATGGGCTAAGACCCAAGTTCTGCACTTAGGCCACGTCCTAGACGAAGACGGCGTTAAACCTGAAGATAGCAAAATTGCAGCGATTAGA